AGCCTTTTCTTCTGAGGGGCCTTTGGTTGAACTGGAACTTTCAACCTTCTGATCAGCAGCTGAAAACACTAACCATTTGCATTCAGGGATTCAATTGAAAACCAAAATAAGAACCAACCTTTTTTTAAAAAAAAAAAAAAAAAAAATTTTAGGGTCTAAGGCTGTTGTACGTAGGGTCGCTATGAGTCATAGGCAACTCAACAGCACATAACAACAGCAACAACAGTAGCAGAGCCTGATGGCACAGCAGTTAAAGTGCTCAACGGCACTAAATGTTGAGTGACCCAAACCAAGCAACCGCTTCCTGGAGAAACATTCCACATTCTACACTTGTAAAGAGTCTTAGTTTAGTTGAAACCTGTGGGGCATTTCATCCTCTCCTCGAGGGTCTCTGCAAGTCAGAATAGACTGGATGGCAATAAGTGTGGGTTTGAGTTTCACTTTTTTTGAGTATTTTTTTTTAATTTACAGAGAAATGTTGCAGAAATTACACACTGCCTATGTAAGCTCTTTCCTCTCTACTCTCTTGAATGTTTTGCTTACAGTGGTGCATTGTTATAACTGATAAACCAATACTGATGTATTATTAAGAAAAGTTCATCATTTTCCTAGAGTTCATGATTTGTGTTTGATGGTCAAGTGCACTAGGTGCTGTGCTGCTACAGAAAGGCCTGTGGTTCATTCACCAGCTGTTTCCTGGGAGAAAGGTAGACAGTCTCCTTTTATAGAAATGAAAATACCAGAAACCTGAGGGAGGCTCCCTGTGAATCAAAAGCATCTTGATGGCGATGGGTTTTATTTGTATTACAAAGCCTTTTACAATTAAAATTGTTGCTATGTGCCATTGAGTCACTTGCAGTTTACAGTAACCCTGTGTACAACAGCCCTAAACTCTGCTCTGTCCTGGGCCAATCTCATTGTCTCCAACACACCCACCCAGATTACCCTAGTCACTGAATCAATCCACCTCCTAGAGGGTCTTCCCCTCCTGTGCTCTCCCTCTGCCTTCCCAAGCATGACATCATTCTCCAAGGAGTGGTCCCTCCTTGCAACATGTCCAAAGTGTGGCAGATGAAGCCCCAGAATCCTTGCCTCCAAAGAGCAGCCTGGTTTAACCCTTTCCAGGATGAACCTGTTTGTTTTCCTAGCAGTCCATGGTATATTCAATACTCTTCTCCAGCACCACAGCTCAAAGGCATCAATTCTCCTTCTATCCTCCCTAATCATTGTGCATCTCCCTTTCAATACTTTTTCCTCATTTATAACAGTCTCATGGGAATGACTTGGAAGACTCTTGGTGATACAGTGGTTTAAGTATTTGACTGCTAACCAGTAGGTCCCATGTTTAAACCCAACAGAGACTCCACAGGAGGAACATGAGGTAGACGGCTTCCATAAAGATTTAGTCTTGAAAACTCTGAAGGGCATCTGTTCTGTAGTGTCACTTTGAGTTAGAATTTACTCGTTGGCAGTGGGTTTAGTGTTTTGGTTTTTAAAGGGATGATTTAGGATATTCTAGAAAGGAGATTATTGGTTGAGGTTTTCTAAATTGGGCTAGTGTGTGTTAAGATGAGTAGAAAGCTTACTTCCTTATTTATTCTTGCAAATTGCTCAAAGAGAGGAAGGGTGTATCTAGAGGTGAAGTACTGATGATAGGTTCACAAGAAATCCCAAATGCAGCCACATGTTCCTTAAACAACAGTTTAGAGTTCTCTAAATGACTTTTCTATGCTTTGGTGTCTTAATGGAAAAAGAATTGGGCTGCACTTCAATCCACTATCAGCTCTGTGGAAGAAGGATGGCAATGTCTTCTCATGTGTTTTACAGCCTTTGAAAGCCCACTGGAGCGTCAGCTATGAGTTGGTTCTGACTCCATGACATGTAACAATAAGAAGAAATGAATTTTAGAGTGACTAAATGTATAGAAAAAGAATTGATGCCTGTGGTGCTGAAGGAGAGTACTAATTATCCCATGGACTACCGAGAGAGCAAATACGTCTTAGATAAAGTGCAGTCAGAGTGCTTCTTGGAAGCAAAGATAGTGACGCTTTGTCTTTCATTCTTTGGATATGTAGCTAAGACTAGGCTATTCCTTAGAACAGGACATCAAGATGGAAGGTGAGCGAAGGAGAGAAAGACCCCAATGGATAGATGACTTCAGTAATGGGCTTGAAAGTGGCCGAAATGATGAGGACGGCACAGGATAAGGCAGGATTCAGGTTGGTTGTTCATAAAATCATTATGAGTTGACTCAACTTGATGGTACTTGTTGTTATGTGCTGTCGAGTCTCCTGCAACTCATAGTGACCCCATGAACAACAGCCCTAAACCCTGCTCTATCCTGTGCCAATTTTATTGTCTCTGACACATCTCTACCCCCATTGCCCCAGTCACTGAATCAATCCATCTCATTGAGAGTCTCCCTCTTTTGCACTGTCCCTCCACCCTCCCAAGCATGATGTCCTTCTCCAAGGACTGGTCTCACCTTGCAACAGGTCCAAATTATGTCAGATGAAGCTTCTGAATCCTTGCCTCCAAGGAGCAGCCTGGTCTCACCATCTCTAGGATGAACTTGTTTGTTCTCTTTGCCATTTTATATTCAAAACTTTTCTCTAGCACCACAACTCAAAGGCATCAATTCTTCTATCATCCCTAGACATTTTCCAGCTTTTTGATGCATAACAAGTAATTACTAAGACTATGGCTTGGATCAGGCACACCTTAGTCTTCAGACTGACACCATTGTTCTTCAGTACTTTGGAGCGATCTCTAACAGACTTTCCCAATGCAATATATCTTTTAATTTCCTGGCTGCTGGTGCCAACCATGTTGATTGTGGAGCCAAGCAAACTAAAGATGTTAACAATCTCAATCTCTTTACCATCTATTATGGTGTTGCCAATTGGCCCAGTGGTGAGAATCTTTGTTTTCTTGATGTTGAGCTTCAATCCATATTGAAGGTTGCAGTCCTTGACCTTCTGCAACAAGCACTTCAGATCCTCCTCAGTTTCAGCAAACAGGGTTGTGTCATCTGCAAAACACAGATTGCTGATGAGTCTTCCTCTAATCTTTATGCCACATTTCTCCTTATCAAGCTCAACCTTCTAGATAATCTGTTCAGCATATAGATTGAAAAGGTATGGAGATAGGACACACCCTTCCCAACTTTAAACCACACAGTGTTCCTTTGCTCTGTTCTGATGACTGCCTCCTGGTCCAACAACAATAAAAGTAAAAAAAACCAACACAAAATAACACACCCCCCCACCCCGCAACCTAGGCCAATTGAGATTTTTCCAGAAATGTCTACATTACTTTATCTAGAATAAGCTTTGTGTACTTAAGTGGGAGTGTATGGACTTCAAATTCTTGTTTTATAAATGCTAACAGTAAATGAGAAAAGGAAAAAAAGAGGGTTCTTAACAAATGCTTGTAAAATAAGCAGTTGTAGTAACCAGATCCTCTATCAGAATCTCCCTTGGAAGGACATAGTGGAAGAATAAGGAAGGAAATAGGCAAGATTCTTAGGAATGAGCTCTTAATCCTATTTTGTGTATTTACTTTTTACAGTGAATTAGATATCAGGCCTGAAGGGAAAGGAGTTAGAAATGACCAGAAACACTGATCAAAGAACAACTAGAGGAAATTAGGTACCAAATTCATAAAGCCAGATGAAAAGATGTTGACTATGGCTTTAAAACATACAAAAACATCTTTGTGGCCAATAAAGAGACTTCATTCCAAACGAAGCGTTTTACTTTGTGTGTTTCTCATATCACCATTTCTTCTATAATCACTGATGAAAAAAATGGCTTAAATTTGCCTAAATATGGTATAATAATAAAAGATGTCTTCTAATACGTATACTGTATTCCAGGCTAAAAACTTCAGTGGTAAAGAAGAGAGGCAACTGAGATGCCTTATTATTTTAAATTTTAGTTGGAGGATTTAAAAAAAGTATATATTAAATGATAGAAAATAACAAGTTCTAATACACCTCATCAGCCATTCCAACAATTAACAACTCAATAGCCATAGTGCTTTCTTTTCTATCCCTTCCTCTTAGTTTTCGTATTATTTGAAGCCAATTTGAAACATCATATCATTCCAGCTCCAAATATTTCATATATAATATGAAAGATAAATATGTTTCTTATGTAAACTAAGAATTGATAAAACTCACTCATTGTGATTGAAAAGAAATCAACTCAGAACTGACTCTCCAGTGTTTTTAGAGGCTATAAACAGCATGGGATGAGATTGCTCAGGATTCTGTTTCAGAGTTGCTCATGGCCTTTATAAATACCCTAGCCCTACTACTGCTGGTCATGGAATAATATTCATATGCCTATAAGGAAGACCAGTCAATAATGATTATTATTCAAATTGATACACCAATTACTAATGATATATATGGAGAAATTAGAGATTTTTACAAGCTTTATAGTTTAAAACTCATCACCTATACATTCAATAGATGGACATCATGATTTGTGGTCATTGGTTTGTGAAAGCTGGAATTAAACAAGGATTGGTAATGGGAAAATATGACCTGATAGGTCCTAAATAAGACTAATTCAACTTTTTAAAATTCTTTTTTGAATTCAACACTATAAATGACAACTATACATGTGGAGCACATATGTGTAAAGGGACAATGGAGAAAGTCAGTGTTATCAGTTAGGACAAAGCCAGGAGTTGAGAGTAGAATGATTAAGTATTCACATGCAAGTTCAAGTTGAAGCTAAAGAAAATGAAAACAAGCCTTTGAGAGCTCAGATACAATTTTTCATATATCCACCTGAACTTAGAGTCTAATGAAAAAATAGATTTGAGGCATTGACCAGTAAAGACCAAAGACCAGATAAGTTATATTATGATTTGAAAGATACCATACATAAAGAAGACAAAAACTTATTACAACAAGAAATAAATTAAAGATCAAAACTGATTTCAGAAGAAATTCTGAGATGCCTTGCACCCATAGAAGTACAGAAGCCATGACTGTGCTCTACCCTAAGGTCGTGGACTTCGACAAGTGTCACAGAGTAACCCAGAATGTGAGCAAGTCGAGGCACAGCCCCCCATGGGAACCCCATCAAACACATTAAGTTCCTTTGAGACATGATCTGGGAAGTATGTGGCTTCACGCCCTATCAGGAACACGTCATGGGACTGTTCAAGGTCTCCAAGGATAAGCAGGCCCTCAAGGTCAGCAAGAAAAGGGTGGAGAAACACGTCTGTGCCAAGAGAAAACGAGAAGAGCTTAGCAATGTCCTGGCCACCATGAGGAAGGTGGCTGCCAAGAAGGCTCGAGCGTACACCACTGTCCCCTAAAGCACTCAACCATCTGATGTGATAAAATGTTGTTAGGTGCCGTCAAGTTGTAGGCGACTCATAGCGACCCTATGAATGAAAGACCTGAACACTTGTATGACTTTCATCATTTCTCCAAGTTCATTAGGTTTCCGGGGGCAAGCTATTTCAGAAGTGGATGCCACTCCTGCTTAATCTAGGAGCTCCACCAAACACTGTCTAGCATGGGTAACCATTATCGCGTTTGACACAGCAGTATCACAGTGTTCAGCTTCACAGCAACCACGAGTTACCTCTGTACAGCAATGCACAGACCAGTGCTATACCACTTAGAAGAATGTATGGCCAAAAACAATTAAAACCAGACCTGAGGCCCACAAATTAATATCACCCACCTTTGGCTTAGTAGCATCACTTTCATTGGTCAACTGAGCTCTATGTCATTGTTAAGTGCGTCGAGTTGTAGACGACTCATAGCAACCCTTTGGCTTAGTAGCAAGCAAATAAAAAAAGAATTTCTGAAATTTGGTTTTGAGCACAGAGTAGCTAAAATGAATGTAAGTCATAGTGGAAGAAAAGAATGGAACATAAGATTTCAATGAGCAGCTTGAAAAGGCAAAGTAAAGTAGTAGTTGTTGTTGTGTTATGTGCCATCGAGTTGCTTGCAACTCATAACGACCCTATCTACAACAGCCCTAAACTCTGCTCTGTCCTGTTCCAATTGCACTGTCTCTGATACACTCATCTGATTACCCCAGTCACTGGATCAATCCACCTCACAGAAGGCCTTCCCCTCCTGTGCTGTCCCTCCACCCTCCCAAGCATGATGTCCGTCTCCAAGGACTGGTCCCTCCTTACAACATGTCCAAAGTATGTTAGACGGAGCCTCAGAATCCTTGCCTCCAAGGAGCTACCCAGTTTAACCCTCTCCAGGATGAATCTATTTGTTTACCTAGCAGTCCATGGTACTCTCAACACTCTTCTCCAGCATCACAGCTCAAAGGCATCAATTCTCCTTCTAGCCTTCTTGGTCATTGTCCAACTCTCTGATGCATAACAAGTGATTGCAAAGACCATAGCCTGTATCAGACGCACCTTAGTCTCCAGAGAGACACCATTGATCTTCAGTACTTTAGAGAGGTCCCTAATGGCAGACTTTCCCATTGCAATACATCTTTTAATTTCCTGGCTACTAGTAGGTGCCAAAGGTATTGACTGTGGAGCCAAGCAAACAAAAGCACTACAAAGAATTGTGCAATAATCTGGAGTTAGAAACCAGATAGGGAAGAACACACTTGGCATTTCTCAACTGAAAGAAATGAAGAAAAATTGAAGACAAAGTCCACCTGAACTAAAGGCACTGGGGGAAAAAAAACCCATGTGCCTCCAAGAATTTATAAGATACTAATTGAAATATTTCAATAAACAAATGCAATATGCAAAGCACTTACTTGTCTATGCAAAGAAAATTAGAAGATAGCTTTCTGGCCAACTGACTGGAGAAGATTAATATTTATGCTCATTCAAAGACAATGATCTAAGAAAATGATCAAATAACATTGATATCATCCACAAATAACGTTTTGCTGACCATAATAAAACAAAATAATTGTAGTAGTATATTAGTATAGAAATTCCACCTGGATTCAGGAGATGATGTGGAATGAGGAATATCATTGCTGACATTAGATGGATCTTAGCTGAATGCAGAGAATGAATACCAGATAGCTGGTTATCTTTGTTTTATTAGGTACCATTGAGTCAAGCATGGTTATCAGCGACCCTGTGAACAACAGATCTGAACCTTGTCCTATCTTGTGCCATCCTCATCATCCCTGATATACTTGACCTATTGCTACAGTTACTGTGTCAGTCCGTCCCATTGAGGGTCGTCTTCTCTTTCGCTGACCCTCTACTTTCCAAACACGATATCCTTTCCCCAGGAATAGCCTCTCCTAGCAAGATGTCTCAAAAGTATGAAAGATGCAGCTTTGCCACTCTTGGAGCAATCTGGATGCACTTTCCTGCAGACATATCTGCTTGTTCCTTTGGCAGCCCCTGGGATATTCAGTACTTTTCTCCAACACCACAACTTGAGGGCATCAAGTCTTCTGTCATCCTTTTTCATTGTCCAGTTCTCAAAATCATAATAAGTGATTGAAAAGACCATGGCTTGGATCACATGCACCTTACAATGCAGAACAATTAATTATGTGTATCATAACAAATTATGGATAACATCTCAAAAAATGGAGATTTCAAACACTTAATTGAGTTTATGTGGAACCTGTACATAGATCAACAAGTAGTTATTTGAGCTTAACAATGGGTTGCTGTGGGGTTTAAAATTAGGAAAGATGTGTGCATTGGGGTTGTATCCTTTTACTATCCTTATTCAATCTGGATTCTGAATAAATAATCCAAGGAGCTGTATTATATAAGAAAGAAATAGGACATTGGAATTGAAGGGGGATTCTCTAACATTTTGATTCTGTGATCAAAATGACAAAATTTTTCATGCTGAAAGTGAAATGGATTTGAAACACCTCTTTGTGAAGATCAAAGCCTTCAGTCTGCATTGCACCATAACACGAGAAAACAAATCCTCACAAATGGAATAACGAAAATAAAAGGACAAATGAAGAAAAAAAATTGATGTGACTGGTCAATGATTTCATTTTTAATTGGCTGTACAGTCAATGCCCACCGAAATGACACTCAAGAAATCAAATGACATGTAGCACTGAACAAGATTAAAAGATCCTTTTTAGTCTTGACAAGCACAGATGGCACTTGGATGACTAATGTATGTCTGACTCCACCCATAGTATTTCCAACCACATCACAAACATGTGAAAGTTGAACCTTAAGGAAGGCCGAAGAATTGAGAATATTTGAGTTACGGAGGAGTTGGTGCGGAGTATTGACTATATTGTAGACTTCCAGAAGGACAAATACATTTGTCTTTGAGGACAGTCTGATTATTCCTTAGAAATAAGATCAGTTGATTTCCTTTCACATACTTTCAATGTTGTTGTTGTTGTT